TATAATGTTAACACACAATATAATGTTAACACACAGTATAATGTTAACACACAATATAATGTTAACACACAATCAAACACAGAGTTTTGTCATTTAAAGAGATTCTAGATATAAAATCAAATTTAAACAATAGAAGTTGTTTAGATCAGTTAAAATACTTTAATTTATTCAACCAATTTTTTTTAGCCACAGTATAAAAGGTGTAAAAGTTCAGATGAAACTCTGCTCTTCATCATATAAATTTTAGTGAGAATGTTTAGTTGATATTTAGGGCATAACAAGAAGATTACACTTTTAAATATTTGACCTTCAGTCACTTTCTGGACATCCTCAACCAATTTGTCAGGTTTTCTTTCAGAACAACAGAAAATGTTGTTTATGTGACTTTGTGACTGAAATACTTTTATTTTAAAAATAATTTTGATTCTATTTTTTGTTCAACACAAACATTTGAATGTTATGTTATTTAAAAAAAACTGAATCGAACCAGAACTCAACTATGATCAGTCAAATTGACGTCCTGGTGTCTTTTACTTTGAAAATAACAGACCGGAAGTTGTATCCTAACGCTGTGTTTGTGTTTCCGCGCAGCTGAAAAAGTCAAACCGGTGATTATTTTCAAGCAAAGCCTCACAGTTTTCAGCTGAGGAGGGCAGGAGTCGCTGTCTGTTCATCACGGTACAGTTTCATTAAAATACTGAAACGTTTTGTCCTCAGAAAGACTTTTAGACTGAAAATATCGGCTACGTTAGCAGCAGCTAACTCTGCTAGCTGCGCGACTTAAATAAACCCGATTTTAGTATTTTTAAAAGCCCACTATCATCCTCGGTGGGTTTGTATCACGTGTGACGTGTCAACCAGTCAAACATTTTTCTTGTAGCACGAATTAGCCATACGAAGAGCTTTAGCTTGCTAACCGCTGTTGCTAGGCGACATCAGAGCTCGCTCCTGATTGGCTGACGTAAAGCCTGTAATTACATTAGAAGAGCAGAATCACTCCTGCTTCCTTACTGCACTAAATAACCGTGTCTTACAGGTGCTGTTTTCATGTCAGCAGGAACAGAAGTCAAACATTAGACTCAAATATTTTCTCTGAACATTTGTTTTATTTGTAAATCAGGGATCTTGAAGAAGAAGCACCATGATGGTCCCCATATTCACCCTGAAGCTGAACCATAAGATCAACCCCCGCATGGTGGCTGTGGGGAGGTTTGATGGGGTTCACCCCTGTCTGACTGCAGCTACTCAAGCTGGGAAGGTAAGAAGAAAGAGTTACTGACCCTGCAGAACCAGCTTTGTATGAAGTACCACAAAGTGATACTTGAGTAAAAGTACAAGTATCTTACAAAAACATACTTTGGTAAAAGTTCTACTTCTTGTCTTTTTTAAATGTAAGGAGTAGAAGTAAAAAGTATGCTGAAAAATAATTGCTGAAGTAAAGTACAGATATACAAAAACTCTTAAGTACAATAACAAAGTATTTGTACTTAGTTACTTTACAGCTCTGCACAGTTAATTAGAAAATGTGTGTTTCAGTACATTTTTCCACCTCTCATTGGATAATTGTGTTGCAAAAAATACATAAACATTTTAAAATGCAGTCAGAGAATTTCATTAATCTTCATTTTCTGTTTAAACAAACAAAAAAATCAAGTCGTCACTTGAAGATTTTTATTGTTTGAGTTAATTTTTTTTGGAAAAAAAGGGGCAGATGTAAGATTATTTTATTTCCTATGCCTTTCATTTTATTTGTGATTTGTATTTCTTGTTGTG